CTGTTGCAGTAGAAGCTGACAATATCAGATACATGCTTTTCTAGACTTGGTTGCAGCCAGGAATGGTCATGTGATGATGTGATGTGACAGAGTTCCTTTTTTTTTTTTTGCAAATCTCCAGTAGTTCATTCCTGTTAGGACTTTTTCGTGTATTTATTTGAGGGAGAGGGGGAAGAGAGAACATCTGCTGTTACACTCCCTAAATGCTCACAACAGCTGGGGCTGGACCAGGCTGATTTAGGAAATGGGAACTCAGTCTGGGTCGTCACCCGCATGGGTGGCAGGGACCCAAGTACTTGAGCCATCATCTGCTGTCTGCTAACTTGCCAATTAGCAGGAAGCTGAAATTCAACATGGAGCCAGGACTTGAATCTAGGCATTGCAGTATGAGATGTGGGTATTTTAAGCAGTGTCTTAGCTGCTGTGACAAAGACCTGCCCCCCTTCTCCACCCCTCCCCATATGACTCGCTCTATCAGAAAGACTTAAGTGAAAGTATTTTGCGGGAGCTTTTGGGAAAGATTTCTCGTCTTCTTCTCCTTCTCCTTCTCCTTCTTTTTCTTCTTCTTCCAGACAGAGTTAGAGAGAGAGAGAGAAAGGTCTTGCTTCCATTGGTTCACCCCCCAGATGGTTGCTATGGCCGGCATGCTGCGCTGATCCGAAGCCAGGAGCCAGGTGCTTCCTCCTGGTCTCCCACACGGGTACAGGTGCCCAAGCACTTGGGCCATCCTCCACTGCCCTTCTGGGCCACAGCAGAGAGCTGGACTGGAAGAGGAGCAACCGGGACTAGAACCCAGTGCCCATATGGGATGCCAGCACTGCAGGTGGAAGATTAGCCAAGTGAGCCACGGCGCCGGCCCCAAGATTTCCCTTCTTGATTCAGAGAGACATGAGAGGCTGACTTCTTGCAACTCTGGTTGCCGCTCTCGTTCTTGATGCGGTTATGACATTTGCATCCAAGGAGGCCATTCTGGGACCACGAGGCAACAAACCAACAAACCAGGGATGAAGACAGACCCTTCTGGGGTGCTGAGAATGACGACGAGAATGAAAGATGATTGCACCCTTGATAGCATCGTTGGGCAGTGGACCAAACCTGGAACTTCCTGGGATTCCTATTGGTTAAATAAAGTTTAGTCAGGTATTCTCTTACCTGTAGATGAAAGCATCCTCCTGGTACAGATTCCTGGTGTTTAGTAACATATTCTTGTCTTTACTTTCTAGAAGGAAAAAGTCACTGAATACTGTTCCCGCAACCTTGTTGCCTGGAGATTTCTTACCCATATGGTTACATTTATTCAGCTACTTCTCAGTTCACTTCAAAAAATTCTCACAAAGGGAGAGACCGCGACTATCTGTTTCACTCTTTTGGTTGAACTTAATGTTATATAACATTTAAACATTCAATAAATACCCATCACTTCATGAATGGGAGCTAAGAGGTGGAGTTCTCAGAATTTGGTTATTACGTAGAGGAGAGAGAATGAACAAGCCAGTTTTTGGCTTGTTTATTTGGGTAGAGAATGTTTCCTTTCCCTATGAACTGATATGAGAGAGACATAGACAGAGACAGGCAGAGAGAGAGAGGATAAGTGTTGAATATGAGTTTTGTCTTGGATATGTTGAGTTGGAGGAGGTGTTTTGGACCAGCCCCTTTAGGCATTGAGGATCGGTTCTGGATTGAGGTACAAGAAGGATGGGTTGACAAGGAAGAGTGTATGTAGCAAAAGAAGTGACTTCAGTACTCAGGATGATGTGGGTCCACCACCCACTCTGCCCAAGCTAGAAGTCAGGAAGTCATCCTGGACACCTCCCTTTTCTTCATCCCCCCATCCATCCATCCTCTTGCCTCTCTTACCCACGAACATCTCTCCATCCTCCTTGTGGGAGGACTATTAGGGCTCAAGCCACCACCATGGCTTCCACACATGGATGCAGTGGTCTCCTAATTGGCTTCCTCAGTCCACGTGTCGCTCCATTTGCTCACCATGCTACAGTCACACAGATCTTCCTCAGTCCTTGAAAACACCAATCTTCTGCCTGGCTGAAGCCTTTATTCACAAGGTTTCCGCTTCTAAGAAAACTCTGTTCACATTTTCCAGTTTCCTCCACCATCTCACCTCTTGCCTACGCTTTTGCTCTCTGCTTAACCACCACTTCCTCAGGGAGGCTCCCCTCACTCCCCTCTAGCTCACTCAGCCTTGTGGCCTCAGAAGTTTAACTTTGTTGGAGCACCATGGGGAGTGATTTGCCTTTTGGTAGCATAAATAGGCAAATAAAACTTTAGAAGACATATATGTAAACAGCAGATGTATTAATTAAAATGAGAACTGTAACTACCAAGAATTAGAAGCTCATGAGTGTGGATAAGGTTTGTTTTGTTTTTTTTTAATCCTAAAAGGCAAATGTGCACAGGGAGCCAAATAGCTTGTGAGTGGAGGATCAGGATCAAAGAGCATATAAGACTAGGATCACATGGTTCAAATTACCAAACTGTGAGGCCCCAGTGCACCTGTGTCCATCACAGGGCTCTCCCTTGACACCTGCTCCTGTCCTTTCCATTCCAGTGATGAAGACTCCATGCCTGTTTGCCTCCATCCTCTGAACTCCAGTGGTTGGCTGGCCTACCTGATGGACACAATGGGCTTTCAGTGTGCTAGCATCTCCCTGGTTAATCCTAAATATGGTCTGATCAAGCTTGGGAGGGGTCTTCCCTTCTAGGTGACTTTGTATTTGCTGTGATCTCTTGTGTCTATCTTATAGTTCAAGAGCGTGAAGGCAGACTATACTTATATTTCTTCCTGTAAAAGTCTATTAATTACTGTATCCATTTATTAAGCCTTAGGTTCCTTCAGGATCTGTATTGATGATTATTTTAGCAAATGGAGCTGTAAGCCTTTCCAGTGGTCTGGGGGAGGAGCTCAGATGGAACTTGTTAGATGAGGGGGAAGGCTGAAAACAGTCCTGTGCATAAAGTCTCATCCTTTACTTGCTTGTCACAAACACCTTCTGTAGAAAGCCCTGGTCCCCTGGGAACCTGCACTTTCATCTGGACACGTTCCCTGCTAATCAGATATCACGGTAGCATGCAAATGGCCCTTGCCCTTGCAACTCATGGTAGGTACTGTCCAGAGTCCATAGCATAAGAGCCTTAAAACCCATTGTCTTTTCTCCCTCAGGCAAAAGAGGATGCTTAGGGACCAGGTCTAGTAGATTTATTATCTTGAAGTGATAGACAGGAGAGGTTGTTATGACAGAAGGCACTTCCATTGGTGGTGGTGGGGGGTACTCCATTGTATCTTCTCTTTGGGCTACTTTGGAACTCATCCTTGACATTTGAAGTAAATATCCAGTTTTATTGTGTGTTCTTTCAAATATCCTAACCATGGTAACCATGGTAAGAGGTAGAAGACTAGTGCTTCTGGTGGCCTTGGCAAGCAAGGCTGCGGCTTCACCCTCGGGGGATCACACTCTGAGAAGTGGCTTAATCTAGACAGTCAACCCCTGAGGCGTGCCATGGCCCAGGATTGGTCCCAGAGGGGGTGCCCAGGACCTGTGTGACAAGGCATGGAATTGGCTCTGAGCAGAGGGAGCCCACGGTGTGAGGGGCGTGCCCCCAACATCTGTAATTGGCCTCTGTATTTCTTCTCATCCCTGTCTTGGGAGAACAGTGGCGAGTTGAGAGGCTTCCCAAGGGCATGGGGTGGTTCAACCTGAAATTGAACAGGGATCGCTTAACAACACACATGGTGCTATTTCCGAGTGTGATAAAGGAATAAGGAACAGAAGCAATACATATATATGTAATGTGATTGTTCATATACATTATAGCTATAAAAGGCCCATTATACAAAACTGAGCTTCGAATATAATTTATTCATCTACTTACCAAGACATTTGTTATACAGACAATAGGATAAAAGACAAGTGCTCCTTGAGAATCCTTAGTTAACTTTAGGATAACACTTAGTAACAAAAATAGCCTGAGAGAATTAATATCATTTAAATTAGACAATGTCCAAGGCTTTAAAATGTCCCTATTAACAATTGTGCATGAGCAGATGGGGAGAAGGTGCTGTCTCCGTCACACCAGAGTTCTTCTCTGAAGATCAATGTGGGTCCATGTTAGAGGACTGTGCTTCGCTGAGTCTTGGCCCAGATGCTTCTGCTCCTGAGGCTTGCTCTTTAGTTCCCCCAGCTCTTACTTCACAAACTCCCGAACAAGGAAGATTTCAGTTCAAACCCTGAAAATTTAGTTTTTCTGCAGGAATATTAATACATCTATGACAGTTTCAAACTCATGATTTCAAAAGATTTTGATCACAGGTTTTTAAAAATGTTTAAAAAATTATTTTATTATTTATTTGAAAAGGAGAGAGAAAGAGATCTCCCATTTGCTGGTTTCCTCCCTAAAGTCCCACAATAGCTAAGTCTCCCATGTGGGTGGCAGGCACCCAAGCACTGAGTCATTACTGCTTCCTCCCAGGCTGTGCATTAGCAGGAAGGAGAGTCAGAAGCAGAGGCAGGACTCAAACCCTGCCCTGCACTAGCCCAAGTATCCCCGGGGGCATCTGCACAGCTGCACCAAATGCCTGGCCTTGCCCTCAGGGTTTCTTAGATGGACCGGTGTTTGCTTGTCTGTTTGCCTGAGAAAAACAAGAAGTGACTTCCCTAAAATACTCACAGTTTACCACCCCACTGCTGTTTATCCCTTCAGAAAACTGTATATTGTGCATGGGGCACTGCAGACCCGAAGAGGAAAAACCCTTGAGGATTCCAAAGTTTCACATTTCCAACCTGCAGAACACTGAACGGGTATGTACTGAAGTTTCACTGCCTTCATTAGCATGTTTGCTCGTAGAACATTTAGAGAACTTAGAACTCTATTAAATTAAAAAGAAAAGCAGGAGACTTCCTTATCCACTATATCTTTATTGTCTTAGATGTAGTTAATCATCGACTTGCATCATCCCCTATCTCTTTCCTTTTCTTCTTCCTTTTTTTTTTTTTTTTTGACAGGCAGAGTGGACAGTGAGAGAGAGAGACAGAGAGAAAGGTCTTCCTTTGCCGTTGGTTCACCCTCCAATGGCCGCCGCTGCAGCCGGCGCACCGCGCTGATCCGATGGCAGGAGCCAGGATCCAGGTGCTTTTCCTGGTCTCCCATGGGGTGCAGGGCCCAAGCACCTGGGCCATCCTCCACTGCACTCCCTGGCCATAGCAGAGAGCTGGCCTGGAAGAGGGGCAACCGGGACAGAATCCGGCGCCCCGACCGGGACTAGAACCCGGTGTGCCGGCGCCGCAAGGTGGAGGATTAGCCTATTGAGCCACGGCGCCGGCCAGGAAATATTTTTTTTAACATCACAAATTCAACAATTTCTAAAAATAACACCTGTACACAATCTGACCTTAACCTCCAGTCATCCTTAAGTGAGTTAGAAATGTGACTTTTAAGGGCTCTTAGATGTTGATGATACTATGCCTTTGTGGCATTCGCAGAATCAACTAAGGGATTAGAGTAGAAATAGCTATGCTGAGTATTTTATAAACATGTCTAGGCATTGATTACACCAGGAACTTTTCCAACTCACTGAAAACATATATTTTCTCACAAGAAAAATTATAAACTCTACCTTTAAAAGTCCTTTGCCATCTCTGAGAAAAGTGACAGTTACAGAATAATGTTGATGGATAAAATCCCTTCCCTACTCCTGCAGCTCTGTGGGCCTGAAAAAAACCAATTATCTCCCTTAGAGAATGCCACACACACACACACACACACACACTCACATGGTGGAGCAGGGAGGCCACACTGCTGACGACCTGGGGAGCCAGCGCCCGGCCAGGCTGCACCTGCTGTGGTGACCACAGCTTTAATGTGTAACATGCATTGATTTGAAAAGAACAGCCTGTTTCTGTGAGAATTCCAGGCTTCATTGTTTTCACAGATCTTCATCTGTAATACTGTTAACATCTTCCAGCCAATAAAACACCGAGACATCAACAAATATAGATAATTAGCTCCTGGTTTACTTCCTCTTCCTGTTGGAGCGTTTTGACTTTATAAATACTTTACAGGCTTAGTGCCAACCCCTACAGGGGTTTCAACTTCTATATGAGAGCACATTAGCTGGATGTGGCTCTAATGTGCTTGAAGATATTCCTGGAGTCCAAATGAAAAATAGGAAATGAGCTTAAGAACACATCACCCATCGGTTAGTATCAACAACAACAGTTTGTTGGGACCTGGGGATGAAATGGAGAAGCAGGCAGGTGGAAATGACTCAGGACCATGGCTGTGGGTGGCGGTCGCTCTCACAGAGGGCTGTCCACCATCCTTTTCTTGGTTTGTCGGTAAAAGATGCGGTTTTCCTCCGAGTAAGTGACTTTACTGAGGGGCATCTTGTAGATGTTGGGGTTTTTGGTGGTCAGCAGGAGGAACAGTAGTGTGCTCAGGCAGAAGGGCCAGGTGCAGGCCGGCAGTCCAACCTGCGGAAGAGGAGACAAGCCGCAGAGTTCTTTGAGAGCCCATCTGAAAGCGAACTACACAAGCACTACCCTTTGCCCCATGCTCCTTCAACCTGGGCGGATGCGTCGCTGAGGACACGCCCCTGGATCTTGCTGATGTCCAGAGTGTACGACCTCAGAGCATTTAGCAGTGGGAATGTTTTGATCCATTCTCTAGGGTGGTCCATTGTGTTATGTCTCTATCCCGTATGTCTTTCCCTCCCTCTTCTACAGTCAGACTTCATGGACCAGAGGTCTACACTTAGCACAAGCAGATGCCATTGAGCAAACTGGTAATGACCCCTGACCCCTCATCACGTCCGCAAGGTCTTCTCTGGTGTGTCCAGCCTTCGTGACCTCTCTGACTACGACTTCCACCCAGTCTAGGCCTTGGGCATACTTGCTTTACTTATTTCCATTCTGTCTTCCAAATAGGCTGCAAGGTCCTGATTTCTCATTTACTGCATGGTCCTGTTTTTGTTGGTCTGTTTAAGTAAAAGACATTCTAATGTCAGGTTCTTGACACTCAAGAGTTAAGACTATGGACTTAATAACAGGTTTTCAAGCTATTGATAAAGTGTTGCTATTTTTTAAACCAGGAAACCTGCCATTTGCAACAAAGCCTGCTGCTTGGACTTCAGACTAAAGCTTGCTGGGAAGCCGGAGGGTGAGAGAGGACAGAAAACTCTGTAGAAGGGCGGGGCGTGGTTATCACCATGGATCCTGCCCTGCCCTGTGAACTTCTAGAGGGTTTTCCACTCAGCTGCTGAGATGAAAGCAAACTCACCCTGGCCATTAGGTTTGTCAGGCTTCCTCCGAGGTAGGCGGTGAACAGGGCTACAAAAGAAGAGAAAAGCACAATGGCTCATAGATATACTTTTAACCGCAGGAAAGACCGCCTTCCAATATTAATCGCTGGGAATGTACACTTCCACATCCCACCAGTGAGCCCAGCACCCTGGCTCGAAGTATGAGCTTTCAATCAGCAGCTCTGGGTTCAAGTTCTGGCTCCTACCCTTAGTAGCTCAGTGAGTTCTGTTCTAAGCCTCCATTTCCTCACCTGTACATGAGGGTGATAAGAGTCTCTCTCTCATGGGCTTGATGTAAACATCAAAGGGAATAAATAATGCTGGTGATTAGCACACAGTGAGTGCTTCATGAAAGTAAGATTTTGTGGTTACTGTTCTGTTGTTATTATTTGCTAATAGTTAAGAGAAAGGATTTTCTGGCAAATAAACGTCCCCCTGTTGCTTTGCCCAAGCGTAACTAAATCAAAACACAACTTACAAATGTTTCTTGGGTTCGCATGTTTTCTATACGCTCTCATTGCATCTAGGAGTCCCATGTTAGTGGTTAGAATTCATAGTTGCCAAAAAAAAAAAATCATGCTCCATAAAAATAAAAAGACAATAATACCAAGTGCAGCAGAAAACAATGCAAACTTGGGACTCCTCTCCATAATGACTTTTTTTCCCACAAAAATACAAGGCTATTTCCCAACATTTGTGGACAATGGAATTAAAAGGCAACTTCATTTTGGTGCCAAAACATTTTGAAATCCGTGCATAGCTTTTTCATTATATGCACTTTCCACAAACTTTTTGAAGTATCCTGTACCATTGAGGTTGGCATACCAGTCAATACATAAATATCCTACTTTGTATTTACTTTGGGTGAGTGGAGGAAGTGTGAACAGGTAGTTTTAGTGTATGTGTGATTTTTGACATAAAACACCACGCACACAGGTCTCAAACAGCAGGTCATCAATCCCTGGTTCTGGGTGACGAGGAGACTCAGGGGCTCCGTCGGGGATGCCCTGAGATGTCATGGGGGCAGCCTGGAGAAGGATCTGCATATATTGACCGCATGGCCACCTGGGCCACCAGACCCCCTGCCAGACACCCTCACTATCCATCTAGACTTCACGTCTGGCGAAAGATCCTATCCGCTCTCTTGGAGGTTGGGGTGTGTCAGAGAATGGTGGGCAGCCTTCTGTGCGCCTCACTTACTGGACACCTGTGCTTTTACCAATATCATGTCTTTTTACCTGGAGTTTCTGATTCAGTAGGATACGGAATTCAGTGATAGCTGAATTGTTTCATACTCGAGGGAAGAGCCTGTCTTTGGAAATAAACAATGCTGGCTTCAAATCCCAGCTCTGCCATTGTATGTGTTGTCTGAAAATCATGACTATCTCAGAATCTAGTTCCATCATCTACAGAAAAACAGTACGGAGAATGTGCTTCACAGGGAGGGGATGGAATTGCAAACGAGATCCTGTATTTCCACAAACAGCAGCTGTAAACATGTCTCTTTCACCACGGGATTGAGACACTGTTCTGAACAGAAGTGTGGGTTAGAAGGTTTCCACCCTAGGCCGGCACTGTGGCTCACTTGGCTAATCCTCCACCTGCGGCGCCAGCACACCGGGTTCTAGTCCCTGTTGGGGCACCGGATTCTGTCCCGGTTGCTCCTCTTCCAGTCCAGCTCTCTGCTGTGGCCCGGGAGTGCAGTGGAGGATGGCCCAGGTCCTTGGGCCCTGCACCCGCATGGGAGACCAGGAGAAGCACCTGGCTCCTGGAGATCGGCGGCTGCAGCACACCGGCCGTAGTGGCCATTTGGGGCGGGGGAGGGGGGGTGAACCAACGGAAAGGAAGACCTTTCTCTCTGTCTCTCTCTCACTGTCTATAACTCTACTTGTCAAAATAAATAAGGCAAAAAAAAAAAAAGCAGGTTTCCACCCTTGGTTTAGCCAATCTCATTCATTCATTCCACAACTACTCAATGGCTCTCTGTTAAGCACCGGGGACACTGTCCCTGCTCTCTTGAGTACTCGCTCTGTCACAAGTTCTCCCCTGAAAATAGGAGTGCTTATTTTCATTTCTCTCCTTGTAACACTTGTTGTTCTTCTAAGGCTTCTGTCTCATACTGTTCTGTTGTCTGCAGTGATCTCCCATTCTTGGTTACTTTTTTTGTCCTGAATAATAAGTCAGACTTCAGGTGCCCATCAGTTAAGATTCAGAGTTGGGCTGGGAGAGCCTGCATTAGACGGGAAGTTCTGTATACCTTGGTCAGTTGTGTTCTGGCTAACTGAAGGAGAGGAGAGGCAGGACTGGATTTCAGCTCTTCATGGATAACGTCTCTTCCAATAGATTGCCATGTGTGAGTCCATTGGAAAGAAGTACAGGTGTGGGCATTATGGTATAATAGGTAAGCCACTGCTTGGGGCACCCATACCCCATACCACAGTACCTGGGTTTCAGTCCCAGCTTTGTTTCTGACCCAACTTCCTGCTAATGTGCACCATGGCATGCAGCAGATGATGGCTCAAATACTTGGGCCCCTGCCACCCATGTGGGAGATCATGGAATTCTGGGCTCCTGGTTTTGATCTGGCAGAGCCTTGACTACAGGGGGCATTCGGGGAATGAACAAGCAGATGGAAGACTGATCTCTCTCTTTCTCTTGCTGTGCCTTTCACATAAATAAGAAAAAAAAAAAGCTGTAAAAGAAAGAAATAAAGGAAATAGATACAAAATGTGTTTACAGTTCCACTGATCACATCACAGAGTTGAGAAATCCCATGACCAGGCAGTTCTGATTGGAGGCGGGGAAGGCAGCAGTGCCAGGTACTATCAGAATGTCCTAGGTTGTCCTCCTGATAAAGACGTTTGGATCGAACACAAGAGCAGCACTGTACTACATGTCCGTTATTTATTTACCTTGGCTGACAAGGCTGGTCTTTTGTCTGGCAGTATCAAGATGGTGAGGGCAAGCTGAAGCATTTCACTTGTGAGATTGGCTTTACAAGAGGGGCTGGAGGAAATTCATGTGCAGAGATGAAAAAAATCCGATAGGACCGACCAAGAGTGGACGAATGGGCACTTGGTAGCCATGGAAACTTACAGGCCCTATGGAACGGTGACTTGGGCACCTATTGAAATTAAAATTGCCGTTCTCTTTGAAGCACTAATTCAGCTTCTAGAAATGAATCTTCCAGAAATAGTTGTAATAAATACACACGGATATTTTGTACCCAAAATGTTGATGATATAGCACTGCTTGAAATGACTCCAAGTAACAGGGTGCCTGTCCTGGGAAGCCTCTGCGTAGGGGCTTGCCTGCAAAGCAGAGGCTCTGTGCCCTGGGCCGTGGTGCCAGCTCAACCCTGGGCTCCCGCTCCCCGCTCAGACACTCTTCACCCAGTTAGCAACCCTAGGGCAACGCAAGGTCCCAGAACAGGGAAAGGCAACATCCAAGGACAGCAAACACCATAGAATAAGGATCACAGATTGAACAACTCACAAAGAATGAAGCTAATCGATGAACCAGCCAGGATGAGCTCAGTAGACAACATGATCAGCCACACATGGCCTGGGTGACCAACTACACTGCAGGTTCTTGTGAAGGGGTAGAGAGAGAAAATACCATGTCCGGTGATAAAAAAGTGAATATGGAAACATGTAGTCAAATACTAGAAATCCCAGGAGGAGGGTGAGCAAGGAGTGGAGGGAAAAGATTTGAAAAATTAAAAACTGATAACATCCCAGCAGTAAATTGAATCCCTGAAGGCTCACACTGAAAGGACCTGAGTATGTGGCAGCTTAGAAGTGGGAAGAGAGCCTCCACATCTAGAGAGACAATGGTGAAAAAAAAATATATGAGGGATCTCCAAAAAATTTATGGAAAATGTACATTATGAAAAAGCTATGCATGGATTAGAATTTTTTGCACCAACGTAAACCTTTTTAGCATTTAATTTTTTTCACTTCTTTATTTTTATTTGAGAAGTAGAGAGAGACCTACTAGTAGATGGAGACCTCCCATCCCCTGGTTCACTCCCCAAATTCCCTTTATGACTGGGGTGAGGCCAGGTGACAGCAGTAAACAGGAACGCAGTCTAGGTCTCCCAGGTGAGTGGCAGGGACCCAGCCACTTGATCCACCCTACATGAAGGTTTGAAACCCCAAACCAAGCTTAGAAGAGAACTTGGAAGATTGGAGGATAAAAGATTCTAACTCATTGAGCTCAGGTGGCCACAGAATCTGCCCTCTCTTTCTCTTTGCTTTGAGTAAAAAGCTTTGACAGGACTGTTAGGAGAAATAGTAGGGTTTCTGTAAAGACCAAATGATGTTTAAATAGTGATCCCACGGCAGTCTGAGTTTTGTGAATCTTACAGCATTGGAAAACTCAAAGTGAACAAGGAAACCCTTGGTCCCAAGTGGGTATGTGATGCAGTAGTTAAGTTGCGATTAGGGACATCCACATCTCGTATCAGAGCGCCTGGTTCGAATTCTGCCTCCTCTGTTTCTGATCCAGCTTCCTGCTAATGTGCACACTGGGTGGCAGCAAGTGATGGCTCAACACTGGGAGTCCCTGCCACCCACATTGAGACGCGGATGGAGTTCCAGGCTCCTGGCTGCTGCATGGCCCAGCCCTGGCTGCTGCAGGTATTTGTGGAGTGAACTAACAAATGGAAGATCTCAGGGCATTGATGGTTCAGTGGTAGAATTCTCACCTCCCACAGATGGGAGATCTCTGTTAATAATAATAATAATAATAATAAAACACTTGGTTCTTCCCCTCCCTTTGCCAGTGCAGGAGTCCACTCTCCTGACACATGGTCCACATTGTAATAACTGCTTGGATTCCTTGGCCTGATTAGTCTGGTGATAAACTGAGTTTAGATGTATTTCTACTAGGCTAGATACCATTTTCCACATTACACTTCCCCTCCCCCACTCTAGAATATTTTCTTAAATGCTTTCACCTGTATTGAATTAGCAACATCAGAGGCTGGGGGTGAATATGCCTCCCCTTAGAATCAGCCTGGGAAAGCCATTAGCTGTTCAGATCCAAATCACCTGAAGTCTGTTTCAACCCAGGGGGCTGCCCTGAGGGCCTGAGTGCTATAAAAGAGAAGCCGATTGGGGAGTGTGAGTGACTCTAAAAGTTGCTGGAAAATGTGGATTCTAGACTTGGATTTACCCCCACTGACCACTGCCCTGTAGCACGTCCCTGAACCTCTCTGGCCGCAGTACCCCAGCAGTTAAATGAGAGGGATACACTAAGTCTCCAAAACACCTCTGGCTCTGGCAGGCTGGGTGTGGGTAGGATCTTGGGGATCAGAAAGGATGAAAGGAGCCGCACTCAGAATGTGGCTCCCCGAGCAGCCGCTCGCTCAACTCGGACTCTGCCTGGAGCTTGTTGGAAATGCGGCTCCTCCCACCCTCCCATGGAACACTGAATCCGAGACCGAGCATGGGGCCTGACGGCCCGTATTTTCACAAGTCTGGATATATGCTCAAGTTTGTGAACAGCTGCATTACTGTGATTCTCAAAGGGCTTCACCAGGGGTCATGGCGCCGTGTCTAGCTTGAGCTATTTCCTTTCAGTTTCTTGCACCAAATGATCAAGTTTCTGCCTTGAAACATACACATTTTAGAATGGTTAAGACAACTCAGCAGACGCCACAGCCAGTTGGCAAGCAGAGCGGACTTTACTGCTCCCAGAGGGAGGCATCACTTGTCCTGGTCATTCGTGCAGGTAGTAGGGAGCCCAAATTAGAACTCCAGCCCTAATTTCTCATATAGTCCTTTTTATTGCTTCCTTAATTTTGACCCAATAGACATGAGCGACCCTTGTGCGTAGATGCATGATTATACTCACCGCAGGCAAGAGCCAGGAGGTGGGTCTGCCAGGTGAGTGCCAAGAACATCCCTCCAATTGCGATGCAGGCCAGAGAGCTGTTGAAACCCCAGAGTCCAAAATAGATGTCCTTAAATGGAGCTGCAAGGCTGAGTCCTGTTAGGCAAGACAGGGTTGGTCAGGGCTTTGGACTAAAGGCAGGATGCTCCAGTAGAGGTCTGGGGGGGTGGGATCATGGTAAGCAGCCCAGAAGCTCCAGTTGGACCCATGGAAGCAGAGACCTTAAGAAAGGTCTGGGGGGGCTGGCGCCGCAGCTCACTAGGCTAATCCTCTGCCTGCGGTGCTGGCACCCCGGGTTCTAGTCCTGGTTGGGGTGAAGGTTCTGTCTCGGTTGCTCCTCTTCCAGGCCAGCTCTCTGCTGTGGCCTGCGAGTGTAGTGGAGGATGGCCCAGTTGCTTGGGCCCTGCACCCGCATGGGAGACCAGGAGAAGCACCTGGGTCCTGGCTTTGGATCGGTGCAGCGCCCCAGCCGCAACCCGCTGGCCGCAGCAGCCACTTGGGGGTGAACCAATGGAAAAAGGAAGGCCTTTCTTTCTGTCTCTCTCTCTCTGTCTAACTCTGCCTGTAAAAAAAAAAAGAAAGAAAAAGAAAAAAAGAAAAAAAAGAAAGGTCTGGGGGAATCTACAAAGAGATCAAGAAACTCTACAACAACAAAATAAACAACCCACTTAAGAGATGGGCCAAGGACCTAAAAAGACATTTTTCAAAAGAGGAAATCCAAACGGCCAACAGACAGATGAAAAAATATTCAGGATTCACTAGCCATCAGGGAAATGCAAATCAAAACCACAATGAGCTTTCACCTCACCCCAGTTAGAATGGCTCACATACAGAAATCAACTAACAACAGACGCTGGCGAGGACGTGGGGAAAAAGGCACACTAATCCACTATTGGTGAGAATGCAAACTGGTAAAGCCACTATGGAAGACTGGAGATTGCTTAGAAACCTGAATATAGCCCTACCATGTGACCCAGCCATCCCACTCCTTGGAATTTACCCAAAGTAAATTAAGTTGGCAAATAAAAGAGCTGTCTGCACCTTAATGTTTATTGCAGCTCAATTCACAATAGCTAAGACATGGAATCAACCTACGTGCCCATCAACAGTAGACTGGATAAAGAAATTATGGGATATGTACTCTATAGAATACTATACAGCCATGAAAAAATGAAACCAGGTCATTTGCAACAAGATGGAGAAATCTGGAAAACATCATGCTGAGTGAAATAAGCCAGTCTCAAAGGGACAAATATCATATGTTCTCCCTGATCTGTGACAACTAACTGGGCACCTAAAAGGAAACCTGTAGAAGTGAAACGGACACTATGAGAAACAATGACTTGATCACCCTTGTCCTAAATGTCAAGGAACAACTTACTATTTTATTCCTTTTAGTATTTTTTTTTGTTCTACTTAATACCTTTGGTTGAACTCTTTAATTAACACACAATTATTCTTAGGTGTTTAAGTTTAACTGAAAAGTGATCTCTGTTAAATATAAGAGTGGGAATAAGAGAGGGAGGAGATGTACAGTTTGGCACATGCTCAGTTGGACTCACCCCTAATGGTAGAGCTAGAAACGTGCCAGAGGATTCCAAATCAATCTCATCAAGGTGGCATGTACCAATGCCATCTTACTAGTCAAAGTGATCAGTTTCAGTTCATAATTGATCCTAATGATGGGATTAAGAGTCAAAGGGATCACATAAACAAGACTAGTGTCTGCTAATAATAATTGATATAATTAAAAATGAAAGAACGATTCAACATGGGAAGCAGGATACTCATAGAATGAGAAGCAGACTCATAGAATGGCAGATGCCCTAAATAGCACTCTGGCCTCAGAATCAGCCCTTAAGGCATTCTGATCCAGCTAAAAAGCCCATGAGAGTTTCTCAGGCATGGAAAGCCAAGACACTGTGGCAAAAAAACAAAACAAAACAAAACAAAAAAACACCTGACCTAAATGAAAGATCTCTGTGAGTGAGATCCCAGCAGAAAGAACAGGCCATCAAAGGAGGCACCTCTCTCTGAAGGGAGGTGAGAACCTCCACTTTGATTATGGCCTTGTCTAAATAAGGTCGGAGTTTGTGAACTCAAGAGGCTTCCATAGCTTTGGCAGCTCACGACAAGAGCTTTGGGTGATTACTGACGTCATAAATAAGAGTGTCAATTGTTAAATTAACAACGGGAGTCACTGTACACTTGTACATGTAGGATCTCTGTCCTTGTGTTGTACTATGTGTTGTACTATGCAAATTAATGGTATAACTACTACTCAAACAGTACTTTAGGGCTGGCTTTAGCTCAGCGGTTCCTTTGTCTACTGAATCAAACAGTACTTTATACTTTGTGTATCTGTTTGTGTGCAAACTGTTGAAATCTTAGTATATACCAAGTTGATATTCTGTATATAAAGATAATTGAAAATGATGAAGAATGGGATGGGAGAGGGAGTATGAGTTATAGTTGCGGATGGGAGGGAGGTTACGGGGGGGGGGCAGCCACTATAATCCAAAAGCTGTACCTTTGAAATTTGTATTTATTAAATAAAAGTTTAAAAAAAAGAGAAAGGTCTGGGGTATAGAAAATGTCCACAGTGATGTGGGATGGAGCAGGTGCTCAAGAGTTGGTGATGGGTCTTAGGCTTACCAGCTACTATGCCCAGCAAAGATCCGATGGCAGCGTGTATGCACATGAGCGGGGAGGAGAGGAGGATGGCGAACAGGAAAATACCCCCAGTCCACGGGTTGTCACAGCCGTATATCTGTCCGACTCCCGCTGGCAGAGCCTTCAGTAACTGCAAAAGGAATCACAGAAATGAGGCCACACAACAGAAGTCCACAGGACACTCACACACTAATACAACGTGATTTTAGACTTGGCGTGCCTTCTCTCTCTCTCTCTCTTTTTCTTTTTTTTGACAGGCAGAGTGGACAGTGAGAGAGAGAGACAGAGAGTAAGGTCATCCTTTGCCGTTGGTTCACCCTCCAATGGCCGCCATGGCCGGATCTGAAGGCAGGAGCCAGGTACTTATCCTGGTCTCCCATGGGGTGCAGGGCCCAAGTACTTGGGCCATCCTCCACTGCCTTCCCGGGCCACAGCAGAGAGCTGGCCTGGAAGAGGGGCAACCGGGACAGAATCCGGCTCCTGGACCGGGACTAGAACCTGGTGTGCCGGCGCCGCAAGGCGGAGGATTAGCCTATTGAGCCGCGGCGGCAGCCTGTGCCTTCTCTTTCAGATGAGTGGTATCAAGTGCTCAAATTTCCTCTCTGTTTGATTACAGGAGACTCCCAGTCCCAGCCATTCTTTTGCTTTATCAACAGGGATATCCTAGTCCTTTCCTGCTGCCTGCTGAGCCCACCTTCTCCAAACTGCCCCTGCACTCACTGGCTCTGCTTCTCACCCCGACACTTGGTCCTGGTTGCTGACTAGCTCCCAGTGTGGCCTCACCGCTCCTGGCTCCGAGGGTGCCAAGCCTTTCTCTGAGGATGGCAGGGGACACAATATACACTTGTTGGACTTTGGGCTATCACCAATGCTTCCCCGTGACCAACAGGAACACTGTGGCTACCACGCCCTTCAGTTCCTTGTGCTCAGGCCAAAGCCCTGAAGCCAAGTTGAATCTTGTTCACAATTTAGAAGCAATGACAGGTAAGCTCATGCATCAGAACTGTATTCGCCCTTTGTTGTTGACTAGAACATGTATTAATTTAAATCAAGACATCTTTAGCTTATTGCAGTTACAGACAATTATCAATCCAGCTTCAAAACCTAAAAACTCATGCAAATGTCACAATTCCACTTGGTGGTTGAGGCCTGAATTTGGCTATGTGTTCACACCATGGTATTTCTCAGGAAAGCACAGGGATTGACTCAAATGAACACATGCGGATTCCTTATAACAGGACCAGATTAGGCGTAATGACCTGTGAAATTTCCCTCTGGAGCAAGGTCATTGACTTACTGAAAGCCGCCTTCCTCACCCCTTCCTCTCACCCCTCCACCCTTTCTAGCTCATGGGGTTCCCCTGGGCAAGAACCTTCCAAAGGAAGTAGCCCCAGTGTTAGAATGGGAGGCACTGCTCTCTTCCTTCTTACATTAGTCTGGATATAATGTTGGCTTCTCCGTGCTGGTTTGGTCCTTTCTCAGGGCACAGGACCAGGCTGTGAGTTTGAATCTACCCTAAGATGGGCAGTGGATTCTTCCAGCCCCTGCTCCACAAGGTCATTTCCTGTTTCTTCTAACCAATGCGGACTGCATAGGCTTTACCTCAGAACTTGGCAGTAGAGCTGTCTTTCAGGTAGCAGGAGGGGGGAATTAAGAGGGGGGAGGAAGGGGTAGAGGGCTGGGTGAGGCGGGAAACAGTGTGCTGATGGTTCCGTCAGAGGAGAGGACAAGTCTAGCCCTACCCCAGACCAGCTCCGTCCCATAGAACTTTCTGTGATGGTGGAATAGTCTACATCTGCGCTGTCCAGTAGGCATTAGCCCCGTGTAGCTACTGAGCACCTGGAATGTGACTAGAGAGGTTCAGGAACTAAAATTTTAATTACTCTACATCCAAATCTAAACAGCCACATGGAGCTAATTATTGTAAGAGGCAGGGCAGTTCTAGATAGACACTATTTTATAATTTATTTAAGCTTATTTTTTGTTTGAAAATTTAACAATTTTTAACATTTTGCCATATACACATATACTATTTTTTTCTTGAAAACAGAGACACTAATATCATGAAGTAAGGGATTCAAGGCAATGATCATCACATGGGGAAAGCAGAATATTGTTTTTCATGGGGAATTCTAATAAGTCTTTGATTTTCCTTCCAAGTTATTTCTAAAATGCTCCCATTCATTTTCTGAGCAGGACGCTCAAGGAAAGGCCAGCTGAGCTCCCCAGGAGTTTCTGAACACTCAGAAAAGAGCAGAGCAAAGCGTGCAGCATAATCTGTAGTGGGAGAGCTACTCTTGCACACTAAAGAAGGTAACTTCTTTGGTTTTCTTCTGATTTCAAGTGTTCGCTTGTTCCCAACAAGGGAAAGCTTAAACAGATTTATTCAATAAACACCAACAGAAAGAGCCGCGATTTGGTTTGGGTTCACTATGTTTTCAAAAATGTGTGCTCCCTCTGCCAATCTGTCAAGAGGTACACAACGCCGTGTACATCCAGTGACACAATGGTTCTCACAGTCGGTCAGGATTTGGGAAGTTTGTGAGTGCAGGTGCGCAAGCCCTTCCCCTCGGGGTGGTGACTTAGAGGGTCTGAGAGGCAGCCTGTTCTGGGATTTAAAAACTCTGCAGGTGGTTCTGGTGCCTTCCGAAGCTTGAGAACCCTCAGTGGTCATCCATGCGCTCTGAGATATCATAAGAACAAGCCCGACAGAGCTCTAAGAGTCAGCATTTGGTTCCTTTGCATGGAGGAAACACATTATGGTAGCTTTAACTCAGGCCCAGGGCTGCCTGCCTCAAGGGCTGGTCCTCGTCATACCGCCCCAACAGAGGCTGAGCTCCCAGAAGCTCTGACTTGCAGCGAGCTACACTCTGGAGTTAGTGCTGTGGATTTTTAGGAACAGGGAAGGGGGCGCATTAGCTCTGACAAAAGTAATTTTCAAAATAATCCCTTAGACCCCAGAACTCTGCAGTAGAACAAATGCTTTAGGTGGCAAAAGGAAGGCAGAGTCCACCCAAGAGCTGAGTATCTAGAAGATTCTGATGCCCACACATAATTAACCAGGAGGACACTGGGTGTCTTCAGGGAGCAAGACAGTGTTTCTTACCTCCAGGGCGCTGAGGTTAGGCCAGGTGATATTAGGAACGGAGGCTACAGGTATGATCAGCGTGCTTGGAAAGAACGCATTGTAGTGTCCTGTGGCTGACAGGTACATTGATAAGGCCATGTTGAAAGGGAAGGTGAAGACAGGCAGGTCCCATTTGCAGAACACAGAGTTCAATGCACTTGAGAAGACTGGGCTGGAAAAGAACAGAACAGAAGAATCTGCATATGTCTAAAGTGCTGTGTTGGCAGACTTGCCACAGAAGGAAGCTGGGGTGAACCCTATCAGAGACAAACCCTAAATGAAGGCAAAAGTCATCCCGTGGAGTGAGTTATAGATCAAGGAACATTTTTTAAATACTTTAGACATTTAATGTTATCACACAGTGAAGGCCCCTGTATAACACCTCTCGATCACGTGGCTGGTGCTTCCCTGAAGGGCACGACCACCATCTGACTGGGTGTGTGTGATTTCAGGTGTGTTTCCATGGATCTATGTGAGGAAAAGAGAGATAATTGTTCAAGGAAGGATGCAGGTGGAGTGTGTGTCAGAGGAAAAAGATCTTACAGGCAGGGGGACAGAGTTTATGTCCTTGAGCTATTGTGACCACAGGCAAACATTTCCCTCAATTCCCATGCCTATAAACTTTGGATTATATTGAATGATCTTCAGGCCCTTTATGCCTCTCTCACTTGTTGATTCAATCAGAAAGCATTGCTTTAAGATGAGAACTGCAGATTTCCTGGGTTGTGGGAGGAAGTGTGGGTAGGCACCTGCATACCAGGTCTCCTACCCTCAGCCTGTTCTAAACAGGTGCCAGGACACTTCCTGGAGAGTTTGGCTCTGCCCACAGGTCCTCTGCACACCTGTGGGTGCAGTCAGGATAATGGCCCTCCCTTAGACACTGTCCCTAGAGGGTTGGACATCTCCTATGTGCATAGTAGTATTTTGCATTCTAAATATGCTATGTTAAGAAGGAAATGTTTGCTTCCAGAAAAAGATTCAGATAATATCCACCTAGACACTAGTTTGGAGGATTCAGGCTTTTACTTTCTTCCTTCCTTTTTTTTTTTTTTTTTTTTTAAAGATTTTTATTTATTTATTTGACAGGTAGAATTATAGACTGAGAGAGAGAGACAGAGAGAAAGGTCTTCCTTCCGTTGGTTCACCCCCCAAATGACTACTACAGCCGGCACTGTGCCGATCCGAAGCCAGGAGCCAGGTGCTTCCTCCTGGTCTCCCATGCGGGTGCAGGGCCCAAGCACTTGGGCCATCCTCCACTGCACTCCTGGGCCACAGCAGAGAGCTGGACTGGAAGAGGGGCAACTGGGACTAGAACCGGCGCCCATGGGATGCTGGTGCCTCAGGCAGAGGATTAACCTAGTGTGACGGGGCGCAGGCCCCTCTTTCTTTCTTTTTTTCTCTCTTTTTAAAGAAGGGATTGAATTCAGTAAAACATTTTATTGAAGAGGGCCCATGCAGGGTGTCAGCAGAGTTCATGTAAGCATAGTCATTCTCAAAGTGGGGACCTTTTCCCAGCTACATCAGTGTCACCTGGGAACTCCTTAGAAAGGCACATTCTCAAACTGCATCCACATGGCCTGAAGCAGAAGCCACGGGAAGAAGGAGCAGCCATCTGTGTTCAACAAAGTCTCCAGCTGATTCTGTTTTTTTTTTTGTTTTGTTTTGTTTTGCTTTTTGACAGGCAGAGTGGACAGTGAGAGAGACAGAGAGAAAGGTCTTCCTTTGCCGTTGGTTCACCCTCTAATGGCTGCCACGGCTGGCGCACCGCGCTGATCCGAAGGCAGGAGCCAGGTACTTATCCTGGTCTCCCATGGGGTGCAGGGCCCAAGCACTTGGGCCATCCTCCACTGCCCTCCCTGGCCACAGCAGAGAGCTGGCCTGGAAGAGGGGCAACCGGGACAGAATCCGGTGCCCCGACCGGGCCTAGGACCCGGTGTGCTGGCGCCCCAAGGATTAGCCTACTGAGCCAGGGGTGCTGGCCTTTTTTTTTTCTTTTTCCCCAGTTGATTCTGAAAGCATCCAGGTTGGAGAACCACCGGTGTAGGAAGTGGGTCTCAGCCTCAGCTGCACTTTAATCTGGGGGTCACCGCAGACCTGTCACATTGGAATGTTGAGTGGGGGTGAGGTGTGTGTGGGGGCCACCAGCACTGCTGTCTTCTGGTGCTCCCAGGGCTGCAGTGTCATTGTGCATCCAGAGCTGAGAACCTCTGGATGAAGGAAGGGATTGGTGGCCACGCAGGGTGCTCAGACATAAGGCCAAACAACTGGTTCTAAAAAAACATGCATCTTTGCAAGTAGTTGTTTCTGTTGTCAGTGGACATAATCTGAATCTATGTTTTTTGAAAACTTTGTATTTGAAAAATTTGTGGCAAAATACACAAAACGTTTAGCATTTTAACCAATTTTTAGCTATGTATGACATTAAGCACAGTCACATTGTTCTCCAACCACCCCTGCTACCCATTCACAAAATATTGTTCACCTTGAAAAACTGAACTCTAGGGGCCGGTGCTGTGGTGCAGCAGATTAACACCCTGGCCTGAAGCACTGGCATCCCATATGGGCGCTGGTTCGAGACCCAGCTGCTCCACTTCTGATCTAGCTCTCTGCTATGGCCTGGGAAAGCAGTAGAAGATGGCCCAAGCCCAACATGGGAGACCCAGAAGAAGCTCCTGGCTCCTGGCTTCGGATTGGCACAGCTCTGGCCGTTGTGGCCAATTGGGGAGTGAACTACCGGATGGAAGACCTTTCTCTCTCTGCCTCTCTTCTCTCTGTGTAACTCTGACTTTTGAATAAATAAATAAATCTTAAAAAAAAAAAACCCTGAACTCTATACTTAATAATAATAACTTCCTATCCCATCTCCCTGTACAAGTTTTTCAAAGCTGCTTTAAAAACCAAGTGTCACTTACCACGTCATGGACACAGCAGATACAGGGAATAACAGCCACCAGAAATAGTTTCCTTTCTCTGAAAAGACAGCCATGAGTATTCCCACCAGCGTGGCATTGTAGCCCTGGAGCCCCGCTGCTATGGCCGACCTGGGGACAAGAGCATGGACGTCTCCTTGGTGGACTTCAACTGGACTTGCACAGAAACAACACTTGTAACCTCCAGATCACACTCACGTTAGAAAAGGAGGCTACGTATGGAAATCTATTTCAAAGTCTGTGTAAGCATCATATAGATAGTAATAAAAACATGAAGATGTAATACATGTTAACCCAGATGGAAACAAGAATGCATGTGCAGAGCCACCCTCCACAGGTTGTCACAGCTAAAGACAGGTCGCAGTGTCTGAGGGAGGGAGGGGATCGGTAAGGCAATCTGCCCTGTTGCTTGTAACCTTTCCTCTAGAAATGTATTATTATTTCCTTTAAATCATTAAGGGCTTCTTTATTGGATTGGGCTTTTAGCATGTGAAACTATTTCCTATGTCTGCTTTCTTGGTGATTCCTGGACTGTAACTTCACCTTCATAGAGTCTTTGATCTTCCAACTTAGCGTGCATTTCCATGTTCCTGTGCGTCTAGTTTGTTGTCCAAATATATATTTTTCCAAATTACTGCAAAAACATTACTATTTTTTTTAACTTGGCAAAGTACTCCATTTAATGGTGTACATGTTTAGCCTTTCTCTTTCTGAGGTCTGTTTTTCTGCTCAGTATTCCAGCTCACTTTTAAAGGGTAGCCAATGGGTACATTTCTACTCTGGCTCAAATTGTTCCCATTTCATAATTGGGAACTAGAAGTTCTGCATGAGAAATGGGACAATTTCTATAGAATTAGCCCCAAGGCAGACGAGCCAGGTCTCTCCTGCCCCAGGGAGCTCTGAGAGCTGGCAACATTGGGCATGATGGAGCACAGAGAGTCCCAAGAGCCCCGAGCTCCAGGGCAAAGTCTGCAGTGGGCACGGGGCAGTGAAGATGGGGAAGTGAGTGGGCGAGGCTGAATACAGGGCCTGAGGGGAGGGGCTGCAGACAGTCAGCTCACTGCAGGGGCTTGGAGGGCTTCTTCCTACAAGGCCAGGAGGCACCAGTGGAACAGGCATGATAATGTCACACATCCATCTGGGCCAGAGAATTAGAGGTGGGACTTCCTGTTCAAGAGTCCTTTGTATCCTTAAATAATCCTTCAGGGCAGTTGAGAGGTGGTGCAATTTGCCTTGGTGTGACCCTGAAGTTGGCACTCCACATGATGACAGTGGAGAGCTCTGCAAAGACTTGTCCTTTCAATAAATGACTTGGAGGTTTAATGCTTGGGTTTGATCAGTGGAAAATTAATGGCAACATCTACATGTTGTGTAATGCTATAGTCAAAGCAATGGGAAGACATATATTCACTTAAAATAGGATTGACATTTTAATGTGGTATTTTAGGGACAAAGAAATAGATTTGAAAACACACACACATAAATACAGGTTGAGGATGCCTTATTTAAAATATTAGGAACCAAAAGGGTTTTGATTCAGTTTTTTTTAAAGTTTGTAATAGTTGCATATGCATACTCATAATGAGACATCTTGGGGATGGGACTTGAGTCTAAATAGGAAATTCATTTATATCTCAAATGTACTTAAACATATGGCCTGAAGGTAATTGTGAAAAATATTGTGGAATTTTCCACTTGTGGTGTCATGTTGGTGCTCAAAATGTTTAAGATTCTGGAGCACTCGGATTTCAGATTTTTGGATTAGGGATGCTCAACCTGAATGACCTGACTTCTAAATAATACTTGACAAGGAAAATGGGGCAGGCCCTGTTTCCCTGGAACAAAACAATGGAGGTATATTCACTGCGGCACAGTCCTAGACCACATTCCCAAATGGAGAAGACTCTCTTGGCCCTCATTTTTGGATAGGCTTTAACCCAAGATAGAGCCTCGCCCTCCCCAGGGAGCAGATTGGGCCCTGAAATTGATGGGAAAGTGAAGTATTTGCGGACTTCCACCAAGAGCCTCCCTAGGTGATTTGCAGCAAGTAGGACAAGAGCGTAGCTGTGCAGTGGCCATCCACTGGGCATTTAGGCACTGATCCTGGACACCTGGAAGCCTGGCACCCTCCCTGAAGGAACCGGTGGTCAGGAGCTGCCTACTCCTCTGCTGGGAGTTAGCACATCTGTTCTTCAATGACGAATCGATTTATAAAGTACATGATATTTTTACCCAACATATACATCAGAAGACTCATGAATGCTTACCAAGACAGATGTGTAAGCTTGCAATTTATTTGGATATTCATCTCTCTGGGAACTAGGCTGACCTTTGCTCTCTCTCTTTGAAAACAAGTTTGCTGGGGTAACCATGGAAATAAGACAATAATGGCGTTATTAAGCCACTAAGACTTTTCATGAACTCAAATGAAACGATGATGACAAACAACTTCATCAATCATTGAAGAAGGTCTCCTTTAGAATCTCTCCTGGTCATCACTGCCATGAGAATGTGGCATCATTCAGACTGGCCTCTGATTCAGAATAAGACTCTCAGTGCTTCCCTGACCTCTGACAAAAGGCAAATACAGAGTGCTGTGGAATAAAGGTTGTTTCTCTCAGGAAGGGCGTGGCTTTGTCACTGCTGCCCAGTCACTCGTTGGCTCCCGTGTCCCAGAAATGAGCTGAGTAGGCCTGGATAGCTGTGCCTACCTGTCCTGGCTGAGCAAGAGGGCAGTCAGGGTGGAGACCACTGCACCCACACAGCCTGTGAGAGCCCACCAGGGGTTCTGGACCAGGAGCCCCACCACGATCAGGATGCCACTGATGGGGTTGCTGACGAACACCACTTGGGATATGCCCCGGAGAACCCAGCTGATGAACTGGAGTCCCACAGGCTTGTCTGAAAGAGATGACATGAGCAGAGCTGAGAATGCAAGATGAGCCATGCTCCCGTGCAATGCCAGGGCCCACCCTGAGCAAAACCGTCAACATCCCTGGAGGTGAAACCTACTTTTGCTGTTTCTTTAAGCCTTTTCTCTCTGAGCCCTTTGACCCTCCAGTGGCACCCAGATCCCTGAGCACATTGATTCTTTGTGCTCAACATAGCTCCTGCTGGTATCTAAGCTCCAGAAAGCATCTAAGGTACTTACCACACTTACATGGTCAGATGCTTAAGCCAAAGGAATGAGTTACCAATAGCAAAGTTTTAGCTTTAAGTAAGGAAATTCCAGGATGAAGCCAAAAAGCCTTCCTGTCATATGAGTTAGACTCTGGCTCTGACCACTGTTTCCATAAAAAGAGGTGTGAAGAGGGTTGCAGGTTAGAAGATTGCAAGTAGAAGACTGCAGAGTAAAGAAACAGACAAAAGGTTGGGAAATATAACTAAAGATAGAAGTAGAAGTAAACCATTTTCCCAAGTTCCACCCATCTCATCTCTACAAGAGTCGAAAGCATAAATACCTTTAAGCCATTCAGCGAATTCTTTCATGTCGCCGGTGACATAGCCAAGTGCCTTGGGGATGCATCTTCTGCCTCGAGATGGTGAAATCTGGTTTTCACTGTGGTCCAGTTTAACCATAGTGGGGAGATCCTCCATGGCAAGCTCTTCTTCTGTCTCCTTGGGGGAAGGACAGAACTCATGAATACCTCTCAGTGGGGATATTTATCGGCACCCGCTTTGGGCCAGTAGCCACAGAAGATGAGTTAAAAGGCATTCACCTGGACCAGGATGTCCCATGGGACAAAGAAAGCACCGTTTTCCTCCTAAAATCTCCCCATGGGAATTATAACCCAACCCCTACCCTGCCTTTGTCATCAATGCCCCTCATGCTACCATGAGAAGGTTCTGGCCCTGCACCCCTCCCCTTTATTAATGTTTAGCTATTTTGATTTTATTTGAAAGGCATAGTGACAGTGAGAGTGAATGAGCTGTCTTTCACTTCCCAAATGCTTGCAATAGTTGGAGTTGGGCCAGGCTGAAGCCAAGACTCATGAACTTCTTCTGAGTTTCCCACAGGGAAGGCAGGGGCCCATGTAGTTGAATCATCACCTGCTCCCTCCCAGGGTGTGTACCAGCAGAGGTGGGACTCAAATCCAGGTACTCTGATAGAGCACATGGGCATCCCGTGTGGTGACTTAATGGCTGCACTACAACAGCAGCCCTAGTTCTGGTCTTTTAATTTCCTAAGGATCAGTTTTTGTGGAACAAGCAATTGTTCCGCATCTACTTCCTGCATTCAAGGAGCTCTGTCTGGTTAGCAATTCTGAAAACTGTTGATTTCAACATAATGAGTCAGATAATAATATAGAAAGAGCTAAGATTAGGGTCTTCCACTTCATGCTGTCAATTCAAGAAGGAAGCCATCAGGTTACAAAATGGCCTGCTCCCTAATACGGACCGATCAGTCACTTTCCTTTATTTATTTATTTATTTTTATTTATTTTTTGACAGGCAGAGTGGACAGTGAGAGAGAGAGAGACAGAGAGAAAGGTCTTCCTTTGTCGTTGGTTCACTCTCCAATGGCCGCCACGGCCGGCGCGCTGTGGCCGGCGCACCGCGCTGATCAGATGGCAGGAGCCAGGTACTTATCCTGGTCTCCCATAGGGTGCAGGGCCCAAGTACTTGGGCCATCCTCCACTCCACTCCCTGGCCACAGCAGAGAGCTGGCCTGGAAGAGGAGCAACCGGGACAGAATCCGGCGCCCGGACCGGGACTAGAACCCGGTGTGCCTGCGTCGCAAGGTGGAGGATTAGCCTAGTGAGCCGCGGCGCTGGCTCAGTCACTTTCCAAGACAAGCAGCCTTGTCTTGGAAATTAAAAAAAAATGATGTAGAGTTTTGAAAGGGAGGTTCAAAAGGCAAGACATTTAAAAACCAGTCAGTGTGTGTTGACATAGTTTAAGGTACTTGCCCCTTCCAAGTTCAAGATTGCTTGAATTTAGTCTACACGCAACTGCCTCAGATATTTTTTACATTTGGAATTTATTATTTAAATATCTTAAAACAGGTAGGCATGATGTTTGACAAAAGGGAGGGAAACTGGGACAGGTGGATGTAGACAAAGCTGCCAAAGCCAGGGTTGTAACCTCAGGGTTGTATGGTGTAAGAATGTCCAGGGCGTGATACAGGTAAGCAGGTTCCAGGAAAACACCTAAGATATACCATGACTTGGGTTTACTACAGGACTGTGCATTTCTCATGGTAAAACGAGAGTTTCATGGTGCCGATGGCAGATACCAAAAATCCCAGTGACGTAATCCCAGAGGTAGGCAGAGGGGAAAAGACAACGGCCAGACCACCTGGAGTGTGCAGAAAAGCCCAGAGCACAGCCAGCTCTGTGGGAAGTGGGGGAACCCATCAGCCATCAGGCCCCAGAAGGTGTAACTGCGGAGTGTTGAAGCCACAGTCATAGAAGACAGGACCAAAGAGACACCCAAAGACCACACAGATAAACTAGCTCATCCTCTCCTCGTGGCCAGGCTGTGAACAAGGGGTCCTTGGGGCTGTTTTGGGCTTCATCTATGATAAATTGTTCCATTTACCATAGTCATCAAGTACCTATTAGCAGATAACATATTTCTTACTCTTTGTTTTAATCCTGATGCTAGTTTTGGCATCTGTTAATTCTAGCACAGAAATCAATGTAGGTAACTGATTTATTACTGAATAACAATTGCATTTCCGCTACATGACTTCACTGCCCAACTTGCCATCCTGCTTTTTTAAACAATGGGGAACCATTAATCACTGCCCAAAGTAGAAGCTGTTTATACAAAGCATTCCAGACCCGGGTCATTTTGTCTTGGCAGAACAATGTTAGAAGCCAACATGTGTGAGACTTCCAATGAATCTTTGCATTAAGATATTCTGAAATTGAAAACTGCTGGAAGTCAGGAACCAAACCAAGGCCATATGGAGCTCAGCTGGTTTCGTAGTTAAAGCTGTAAATTGTTCAGATAATTAAGCATTTACAAAGAGTTGCCTTTGATTTCATAAGCCAAGCAATAGCTATCATGTTTTTCCAGTTATCTTCCTCTTTAAATCTCAGGAGCTTGCTAAGCTCCTTCCTCAGCTACAATGGCCTGTTTTCAAAGCCACCCCAGCGTCTGAGAGGCATGGAGCTTCAGCCCAGCAACAAGCCCTGAGACAACCGCCTTGAATCTCTGGAGCTGAACGCAGCAGGTCTTAAACGTGGCAGGGTCCAGGGAAGACCTGAAAGTGGCACTTTCCATCAGCTACAGGAACAAACCCCAGAATAAACAAGGTCATGTTTGTATTTACTTTAGAGGGCTTTTAATACCCCACCACCTCAGAGATTCCAGAGACACAGATCCGAAACCCGATAATATAACTGGCTGGACGTGATCGAGAGCCTGAATGGCGTGAGTCCTCCGATGAGCCGCCCGAGGTTAGGTAAAGGTTAAACCGTCCGACTCCACAGCCCAGCCTAGAGAAGGCTGGTTGCAGCGTGCGTCTCCAACATGCACAGAGCGGGATGGGCTGGAGTGCTGGCAGGGCGCAGACAGGGTCTCCTCCTCGCTTGAGTAGAGAGCAGTTGCAGTTCCAGAGTCTCAGGAGCTATCGACTCTGCACTGCTGAGTTCGCATGGAGCCTCTGGGAGCCCCGATTACTTGCTCCAGAATGCAGGCATGAGACTGATGAGGAGAAATCAGTAACTTACACTTGGGGTTCACTCTAGTAGAATTTTATCCTGCTAGAGCATTTGCGTGTCTTCAGGGAGCTTCAAGAAGTCACACATCCTATGTGAGAAGGCAATGCAAGGCTGCTGCTGCTCAAGTCTCAATCCCGACCGAGTAGGCTATTGCATTTCAACTAAGAGAGGGCAAGGAAAGAAAAGGAACTCGAATAAAATAGAAGCAGGAGAAATCTAAAAAACCCCAGACTGTGTTTTCCCAGCCTTTCCAGGGGGTGTCAGAACTCCCCAGTTCAAAGTTCCAGACCCGAAACTAAGGTGACTGCCACGTGCCTCTGGCTCAGCCCGGGGCTGCGTGGCTCAGAAGAGCTTGCTGACTCTGCTCCCCAGGTCTGCTCCAAAAAGACACAGCAGAGCTTGCAGCAGGTACCCCAGTCTGTTGAGATGGAGGCTGCACAAAGGAGACGCACCCGGCCTTGGGGTGCATTTTCAGGCTCAAGCTTAGCCTGGAGATGAAGTCTCTGCACCTGGCCTCACCAACTTCACTTCCAAACAGGGTCTTCCAAAAAGGACCTCCACGGGTGTTACCAGAGCCACCAAAGATCACCCTTTATCCTTGCTTTTTCTCCATGCATAACGAAGGACGAAAATGTGTGACTCAGCAGGATGCATATCTTGGCTCCACTGAGCACGGGGAGGCAGGAGGGCACACAATGGGTTCCTGGAGAGGAAAGATGTGGCCCCACAAGTCCTTCCGCATGGGTGAAGAATTTGCAGGTGGAAGGGAGACAAGGAGTTGACTGCAGAAACGGAGTGCTCATCTTGCTGAAGCAAACAGAAAGCCGTGCTCAACCACCCTAGCAGAGCCCATTGCGTGGATTTCGTACTGCTCCGCTTGTTTCTGCACTGGAAGGAGGCTGGCTGGTCTGAGACTGGTTCTGGAGGGCCAGGATGTGGCTTTGAAAGTGAGGGGACAAACTGTAAGGGTTCCATGGGGACCAGCAGCACCGAGGCAACGGGTGGCCTCAGCTTGTTCCTTCTTAAAAGTGAGACGGAAGCATGGTGCAGGTTGTTTTCTATCGTGACAACAGCCATACCTGTTATGGTGCAGCAAAAGCCCAGCCCCAGAGATGGATAAATGGCTTTTCCCTGCTTGTATTTAAACATGAATTTAGGGGGCCAGTGCTGTGATGCAGCAGGTAAAGCCGCTGCCTACAGTGCCGGTGGGAGCCTTTAAATACTGAACAACATGTTGTTACTAACAAGTCTTAATTGGATATATTAAAGATAGCTGTTCTTTTTAAATAAATTTCCCATTTTAAAATGTCTTCCACTGCATCCAAGGATATCATTCTTCCTTAAGAAGTTCCAGAGAACGTATCTGTGGCATTTCTGTGTTTCTCTCCATTGTATTCATTTTTACTTTCTTATATTGGCTTGGTTTGAGACCTGAAAATGTTACCAGAGTGACTTGGAAAAATTCACAATTGTGGAAAATATTTCAGACATGTCTTAGGAAAAACATGAGTGTGTGTGTGATTGTGTCTGTGTGTGTGAGCAAACTGATGTGTCTGAGGGTTGCATAATAGTAAATATTTTTGTTTGGTAAAAAAACACCATGAAGAAACCCAAGGGTAGAACTCATATTAGGTTATCAAGCAGAACAGATCAAATAACGAAAGAAAGAAAGAACATGATGAGATGAGGCAAGAAAGGAAAGAAAAAAAGAAAAAGGCCAGTAGGGGCTGTCACTCTCTCCTTGTGTAGATGCCTGCCCGGAGCCCATCTTTCCCTTCACCAAAATCACACACAAATCAGAGAACACAACTTGAGCTCAACAATCACTCAGTGCATTTTTCAGAGCCAAGAGACCAATTTGAGAACAAGCTGGTCTGATTTTAGAGACCACATGGTTCAAGCCTTCAGAGGAAACAGAGGTTCCGAGTGGGGCCCCCGCAAGTTCCCCGGGCAAGCAGCCGGCAGAGGCAGCCCCTGCAGAACAGGTGAGCCCTGCTAGTTCTTTGTTTTCCAGTCTGGGGCCGGGAACGTTCCATCCAAGTCACAGTGAAGGCACAACTTCTATGTGCCAGGGTCTGTAGCAAGTGCCAGAGCTCAGTGAGGGAGGAGACACAGCCTCGCTTCACCATGGCTTTGGAACAACTGTAGGGTTGGGGTTGAACAACAGTAGTGGGCCCTACTGTCCCATTGCACCTGATGCACTGGCTGGAAGCAGTTGCTCTCTGATACACAAACATCTCCCTGTGCCTCCGAGGGAGCCTGCCTCTCCTGCCTGCATGCGTGCGCCTGTGCTGAACTTAACATCCCCTGGATATTCAGGAAGCTGCACCTGGAGAGCTTGGACTTGGCAATCACTTTGCAGACCATTACTGATTTTAGTACGAGGCGATATCAGGATGTCAATCAACTGATATGCCCTCTTTTTTTTGTAAGATTTTTATTTATTTGAAAGTCAGAGTTATACAGCGAGAGAGAGAGAGAGAGAGAGAGAAGTCTTCCATCCACTGATTCACTCCCCAAAAGGCCACAACGGCTGGGGCTGGGCCAGGCTGAAGCCAGGAGCCAGGAGCTTTTCCAGGTCTCCCATGTGGGTGCAGAGGCTCAATGACTTGACCATGCTTTGCTGCTTTCCCAGGCACATTAGCAGGGAGCTGGATGGGAAGTGGGGCAGCTGGTAGGTGACCTGATGCCCATATGGGATGCTGGTGCTGCAGACAATGGCTTAAACTGCTACACCATAGTGCTGGCCCCGATACGCCCTGGCAACACAAACTCATTCTCTTGTCAACACATATTAGAAATTTGTACAACTAGAGGGGCCTGAAAATATTCAATTTTCCATGCCTCAGGGATCAGTTTAAAAACAGCAGAGTTTTGGGTATGGATATGGAAGAAAGAGTTTGAACATGCAAGGAGACTCAGCACTGACATTTGTTCAGCATTTAGTCTTTATTTCAGAGGGGGGAGGATTGAGTTTAAATGCCAGGAGTTGCTCAATTTCCTTTAAAGGTGTAATCGGAGACGAGGAACATGCTGTCGGGTTTTCCTGCCTCCCAAGTGGAGCACTTCCCTGCATGGAACACACTGCCTCTAGAATCCACATGCTGGAAGGTGCAGCGGTGGGAGCTGCCCAGTTCCACTGACTAGTTCCCCCCGGGGGCCCCTCGGCGCCCTCCCTTGAACAAGACAGCACATGCAGAAAGGTCCATAATAAACCCAGGCTTCGGAAGGGCCATGCCCAGTTCCCCTGCTTTCCCCTTTGAGTCATACAGGTGCTTGTCTCCAGCCCAGCTGTCCCCAGGACGCAGCCTGGAACTTTAACAGCACTGAAGGGCTCAGAGCCATTCAGCTCATCCAATGGACACCCTGCCGAAACCCCCCCTTGCACCTCGGTTCAGGTACGGCTCCCACCTTGCTGCTGACATCAGGGGTCAAGCCATTGCTCCTAAGCTGCCAGAAAGGAGGCTGTGGCTGTGGGAAATTGCTCTGCAGTCTATCAGAACCAACCTGCTGCTTCTACACCTTCCCAACAACGTGAGAGCTCTTTGTCCATGAAAAAGAGAAAAAGGGACAAAGAGCAAAAATTAGGATGTAGAAGACAAGCCCCAAACAGAGCGATCCGTTGGAATTTCTTAGAAAAGAGGGCACTTACACTGCAGCTGGCTCCCCCCGGCAGAAGGCGGTGGCTGATACAGGCCTGCTGGGCTCTATGAGAAGGCGAGTGTCTCAGAAAAGATAGTGCCAGGGGCCGGCACCCAGCGGCTTTATACCCACAGCCCCACTCTGCACATCCGTGCACTTGGCTTTCTCCTCCCACTTCGGGCTCTGGTGCCAAAGCAATGCTGGGGAACTGGTCCCCTGGCTGCAGGACCTGCTGCCTCTCTCTCTCCTCTGTTCTTGATCAGGTGCCAAGTGCCTTGCCATCGTTTCCACGGCGTTGTGAGGTCTTTGGCCAGTGAGGATCCTACTCACAGTCATCTTTTCCTTGTCCACGCTGTTTCCTCCCGCCCCCTCCCTCACCCTGATGTGACTTTGGGAGATCTGTAACCAAAAGGGATCCACACGGTGTCACTCAGTAAAAGCCGCGGGTCAGGCAGAGTGGGAGCAGGTGAAGGCTCCTCAGGTGGAATTTTCTTGCACCAGACACAGTTTCTGCACAGGTGTGAGGCCTGAGGGAATGGTGGGAGGACAGGTGTCTACCAGCAGTTTTCTGTAAACCAGTCGCCCCCTTGCTCTTCTTTCCCTGGAATGTCTCTCTTCCCAGGTGAGAATCCCAGGACAGCCGCTCCTGCAAACAATGCATAGCAAGGGAACCTCACACTGAATTTGAAAATGCTCTTTCCCCATTCTTTGTCAATTTCAGTTTTTTGTGGCTTGTTCTGTTAGGGCATAAATCTAACTAATTCAGGTGCACGTCCGCAAACACAGAATTAAAAAAATAAAAAATCCCACAGCAAGCACGCAGATGGCATTGGTCCTCCTTTCAATACCACCCCCCCACCCCCCGACTTGCGGCTCCACCTCCTGGATGTGCGGCTCCACCCCCCCACCCCCCACCCCCCGCCCCGGGACATTCAGCTCCGCCCCACCCCCTGGACCTGTGGCTCTCCCTTATCGGCCTCCAGCCAGGCGGCAGGGAATTCGCGGGGCTCCACATCCTGGACGCTCGCCAGACCACGGCGGTCCTGGTTCCCTTGGGGCTCCGACCCTCAAGGTGGCTCGCAGGGTTCAGGCCCTGTGTGTCTGGGGCCTGGGAGGAAGTCCACGGGTCCAGGTTCATGATAGGGTTTGAGGTGCAGGCAAATCTCCCTCCAACATTTTTTCCTGGTCAAGTTAGGAGAAAATGAACTTCTAGGGATAGCATGAAGGAGGCAAATGAAATGCAAGCCAAGGGTGGGAGGGCCTGCTCTGGGGATGAAAGGAATTATGCTGGTGGATCATGATGAGTAATGCCACCCGGGGCTCCGAGTACTCTTCTGTCTGCTGGCTTGTACTAAGTGCTTTGCAGGCATTAACCTTGTAGCCATCACAAAGTTTCCTGGTTTTGTCCCTTACTAGCTGTGTGACTTTAGGTATGTTACTCACCCTCTCTGAATCTCAGATGCAACCCTGTGAATTGGGGTATTGTTTGCATTTTGCAGCCTTTGCAAGGTAGTACTGAAGATTGACATGGCCTGGCATGTGGAGTTGCCACCTTTCTGATGTCTGTCTCTCTCAGTCAGCATCTGTTTGCCCTGAGAAACCTTTCTTCCGGGCCTTGACCTCAGAAGGGGGAAGCAGGTAGGTGGCTAGTGCAGGACTTGCCATGTCCTCATGCTGAAGGTCCTTGGATGCCGGGGCCTGGGGCCACCTGGCTACTGTGGCTTTGGAGAGGACTCTGGGCTGGAGATCGGAGCTGAGCACCCAATACTGAGAGCGTATGCGCGTCCTCTACTCTCTTTTTATAAAAACATTTTTGTCCATTTATTTTATTTATTTGAGAGGCAAAGGGACAGAGAAACAGAAAGTCAAACAGAAGATCTCCTGTTTGCTGGTTTACAGCCCAAATGCCTGCGGTGGCCAGGGCTGGGCCAGACAGAAGCTGGGGGCTGGGAACTCAATCCAGGTCTCCCTGTGGGGGCGGGGGCCTCACTGCTTGAGCAGGGTGTGCATTAGCAGAGACTCAGGGGCAGGTGAACCAAGTGGCCTCTTAACTGCTGCGCCCAACACCTGCTTTTGGGCTTAGTATTTTTAAACAATCCTAACTGCACAGCCCAGTGCCTTTTTCTCGGTTCTTTTTCCAGTACCTTCTGGTGTCACTTGCTGAGTGCCAAGGCCATACCTTGTTCTTGTCATGCCTTTCCTGAATCTGTCCTGCCACATCTTATCTTTGTGTGAAGCCTCCTCCCCATCCCTTACTCAGTGATGACACCTTGCAGCTCCCAGTCTGGCAACAATCACAAGTGAACATACAAAGAGCCTCCCTCCTCTTTGACTTACTCCATGGAGTTTCTGCCCATAGGAAGTCCTTTCTCCCCCACACTCTGCCTAAATCCATTTGGATTTCCAAGTGGACTCTGGATGTAAAGTGATTTATGTCTAATTCCTCAATGGACACATAGTGCAGTCCCCCAGTTCTGCACCACTCTGGTCTTGTCTTTTATTTTCTGAAAATATTTCTTGCTGGAAGGTACTGAACATGAAGGTCAGAACCCAATAGCTCTCCTCATTCATCCTGGATGTCTTTCTTTCCAGAGAGATTTTGAGGAAGTTATCAAATGCATGTGAGAGGAAATAGGACTAGAGAGAGAAGTGAAGAAGATGAAAGAATACAGCTACAGAGAATGATGATTTTTTAAAAAATATTTATTTATTTATTTGAAAGGCAGAGTTACAGAAAGGCAGGGGGTGGGGAGAGAGAGAGAGAGAGAGAGAGAGAGAGAGAGTCAGACAGAGAGATCTTCCATCCACTGGTTCACTCCCAAATGGCTGCAATGGCTGGAGCTGCGCCAATCTGAATCCAGGAGCCAGGAGCTTCTTCCAGGTTTCCCATGCAGATGCAGGGGCACAAGGACTTGAGTCATTTTCTACTGCTTTCCCAGGCCACAGCAGAGAACTGGATTGGATGTGAAGCAGCCAGGACTCGAACTGGCGCCCAAATGGGATGCTGGCACTGCAGGCAACAGCTTTACCTGCTATGCCACAGTGCTGGCCAGAGAATGACAATTCTAATATTTGTCCTAGAATGTTTTGCATTTGTAGATCTTTCTAAATATGTGTTCTTTGCCTCAGATGTTATGACAGCACTTTAGCTTTGATTACTGCTCAGTATTGTTCCATTTGTAGGCAGTTTAACCTTATGAATAATTTGCAAGCATGTGTGACTAGGCAGCGCTCGCACTCAGGAATTCTGTGAGAGAATGCCAAGGAGGCCTCTTCTGCAGCCTGGGCACGGCTTTTCTGAGTGGAAGAGAGAGTGCGAGAGGAAGAGCTTTCTCATGCTTCCCACCCCTGCCCCCAGGAAGAGACCAGCACCGACCACAGCCTGGAACAGAGCATTCTCCTGCAATGTGTTCGGAGTCCACGGACAATTTGGTTTGGTAAACAAACAGGCGCCAGATGAGAGTCCAAACTCCCACTGACCCAGGACGCTCCGGGAGATGGGTACCCTGTGCGTTAAGCATGTCATAGACGTGAAGCTGCGGGACAAGCAGGTGTAGTGCACGAATCTCACGGCAGCCTTGACTGCCTGCTTCTTGCCGGGGAAGTGTGGGGCTGGAGGACGGCACGAGACACAATGCACCTGCGTTTTGAGCCCTTCAGTGCAGTCCAGGAGTGAGTCCAGGGGCTCAGCAGCTGGGAGCACCAAACAGAGGCTCTTCCTCCTGCCCAAAGCAGAAGGGCAGGGGGATCTCTACCCCCAACGACCGCCTTCATCAGGTGCCCACATGCATCACCTTTTCAGCTTTGAAATAAAAGCCAGGCCAGTGTGAGGCTCATGATGGGGATCTTGATGTCCTTGGCCAGTGCCTAAGTGTGTTCGTGTTGTGCCTTACACAGATGCACCATGTCTGAGGGATCACCCTTAACATTCCAGACATCGATGCATTTATCACAGTGCAATTCCTGCAGATGGCACTGAAATATCTTGGGAAGAGGGTGCTTGCACAGAGGGGCTGTACTGGCTTACAATGTCCTGGGCTGCCTTTTTTTTTTTCTCTTGTGTTAAAAAAAATTGTTTCTCGGGGCTGGTGCTGTGGCACAGCAGGTTAACTCCCTGGCCTGAAGTGCCGACATCCCATATGGGCACCAGTTCAAGACCTGGCTGCTCCACTTCCCATCCAGCTCTCTGCTATGTCCTGGGAAAGCAGTGGAAGATGGCCCAAGTCCTTGGAACCCTGAACCCATGTGGGAGACCCGGAAGAAGCTCCTGGCTCCTGGCTTTGGATAGGCGCAGCTCTAGCCATTGCGGCCAATTGGGGAGTGAACCAGTGGATAGAAGAGCGCTCTCTCTCTCTCTCTCTCTCTCCCTCCCTCTCTGCCTTTCCTTCTCTGTGTAACTCTGACTTTCAAATAAATAAATCTTAAAAAAGAAAAAAAGAAAAAAAAACTGTTTCTCAATGAGGAGCAAAAGGGATAGAGTTGGGAGAAGAGGAGAATCATCTCAATCTCTTTGGGTTATGGTAAGAAAGGGATTAAAGTGTTGGGGAAAATGAGGGAGGGAGACTAGCATGGCCACATTGCCCTGGGCCCTCTCCCAAGGGTAACTCAGCTTATTGGATTGCTTCCTTACTGCAAAACATATTATGATATTGGCTGCAAGCTTAGAAGGCTGAGCTTTATGATTGGGCCAAGGAAAACAGAAAAGATGTAGTGGCCTGGCATTGCCATTGCTGGTGGGGCTCTTTGGGCACCAGGGGCCCACTGGGATACCAGCAATGTGTTAAAATGAGGCTGCTCTCTGGAGCTGGGGCAGCAGCAAGGGGTGGGTTGGGGTGGGAGTCGGGGTGGCAGCCGCTCAGTCTCCTGACAGTTGTCCAAACTGGAGGCTTGCTATCTGCTGCCTGCACAGTTTTGTCAGCTCAGTCTAATTTAAAGGGCTCTTAACGGTGTTTAGCAATGCTCCATCACCATTCTCCTGTCTTATGCCAGCTGGCAGCCAAGAGCTAGAGAGGGATTCAGGCTCCTGGCGCTCCCCACTCCTCCAGTCCCCCCTTGGCTCCTCTTTCCTTACTGTTGGCATCTCCTGAGGTTGGGGTTAAGGCCAAAGGCAGGAGGAACTTAGGG